CAAGCACACAAACACATACAAACACACAAACTGTAAAAACAGACAAAAATGCACATAAGAACACAAGTTTATTCACTTACAATTTACAAACAAACATACATATAAACAAACACAAATATACAAACAAACATACAAACAAACAATTGCAGGCCATATTTGCATATGAAATTCAAACAAAGGAACCGATCAAGATTAATGGATTTCTAAAGAAAAAACGCCATAAAAATGCAAATGCAAACAATCAGACCACCAGCGCATTATAAAACAAACAAACTCAAATAGACACACAAATAGGCATGCAGACAAACAAAAAGAAACACCGAGAAACTCAACAGGATACACATTCTCATCATTATGACAACGCAACCTGCCAGTCAGACAGACAAACATAAAGACAGATTGATTGTTTGTATGATATATCGATTGATTGATTGATTGATTGATTGATTGATATGATTGAACGAAAAAAATCACAGACATATACACTAAAGACGACAATACATACAAACACGCACACAGACACACAAAGAGACAAACATTCAGCGGGATCTTCATCCTCATTGTTGGTGCAGTCTGGCATCTCGTCACACCACCACATATCCGGGATACATTTGGATTTGGAGTCCGTTGCATTGCATCTCCTGTGGTCACTTGGGCATACCTGGTTGTCTGGAGTGTCGAGTGCATTCATTATGTGGCTGACTGATTGAATGATTGACTGATTGATTCATTGATTGCTTCATTGGCTGATTGATTGACTGATTGATTGGCCGATTGATTGATTGACTGATTAATTGATTCAATGATTGATTGATTGATTGATTGATTGATTGAATTATTCATTGATTGATTGGCCGATTGATTGATTAACAAATAATTGGTTGGTTGAGATTCATAATTTATCAGTATATGGAAATGATATGCAATTATGCCAATCCTACATGAATATGCAAGAATTTTGTGAAAACTATCAAAAATTATTTTTGCTTCAAAACTTTTAATATAAATTAACAGAGAATTAAAAAAATGTGTTAATCTATGCATAAATTATGCTAATCTACGCATAAATTATGTTAAATAGCCAGAGCATGAAATGAATGAACTGGGGCTGGATGGGATGGAAAAATATGAGAAGAGAGAATTTATTATCGAGATGCACTGAGGGTGTATGGCAAATAATGGTGATGGTGAAGGAGGGGACGATGACGTAATGATGGTGACGACAAAGATGAGGAAGAGGATGACGTAACTGTTGGGTTAGGGTTAGGGTTAGGGTCATTTTTTAATTGGTGTTATTGCTGTTTGGTGGTGACGCCATTGTCTGTCATTTTTGTTGATGTAAATGTTGAAGTCATTTTTGCTGATGTAAATGTTGGTGATGTCATTTTTGCTGATGTAAATGTTGGTGATGTCATTTTTGTTAATGTAAATATTGGTGATGTCATTTTTGTTGGTGAGGTCATTTTTGTTGATGTCAATTCATGTTGATGTCATTGGTGACGATGCAATTAATAGCTGTTGATGTTGTTGTGATTGGTCTTGATGTTACTGTCTATGATAATAATTTTTAAACAATGGCGATAATAATGTTAGCAGTCTTGTGGATGCTGATGCTATTTTGATACAGTCTGTGTTTCAGATGTCGTTACTGATGTTGTTGCTGATGTTGCAATTGTTGTAATAATGTTGCCGACGTTGTTGCCGATGTTGTTATTGTTGTAATGATGTTGATTTATTTTCGCACTGGGAAGCTGCTGGTCCTAATTGCCTCGTTATCTCAGAACAATAAATAGATTGCAAAACTCCTAATTTTTTTAAAGTTTTTTTTTTTAAATTGCCTGTTAACTTGATATAAAACATAGTCCATAACACACACACACGCGCGCGCGCGCACACACACACACGCACACACACACGCGCACACAGAGACAAAGAAGCACATGCAAATTCATATACAACATAAATATTGTATTGTGTATATGTTACTTTCATGTTATTTTGTTACTTGGATGTTATACATCTCTATGTGATTGTTATACCACTACAAATGATGGAAAGCAGTTTTCACCATCATCATGAGTTTTACATGCTGTTGCTATCATCATAGACCACCATACTTCAATTCTGATAACTTTTCTCAAGGAAATTATTTATTACTATTGTTATTTTTTGGCCACATTTGTTATTATTTGGTTTCAGTTGTTTTTTGAAACACACACACACACACCACACACACATCAACACAAACCACACACACAAACACACACACACAAACACATGTTCAACATAAAAAACAACATATAATAAATAGATGTATGATTGAATAAGTTTATGAATTACAAATCAAAAAAAAATTTATAAATAAACATAAAAAAACAATTAAATTAAATCTTAAAAAACATTTATAAGTTTTCTGATTTAAAATACCAAAAAATATAAGTAGAAAATATTTTAACCAACCACAATTCTGTTCGTCGGAGCCATCGTCACAGTCGTTGGTGCCGTCACAGATCCACTCGGCGTAAATGCAGTTTCCATCGGAACAGTGAAGGGAAAAATTTTGGTGGAGATTGTAGTTACTGTCATTATCATTGCTGTTGATGTTGTTGCTGCTGTTAAAATCTTCTGTTTCACCATCTGAAGATGTGATGATGGTGTGATTTCATGTGATGATGGTGTTGAATGATGATGTTATAATATAAAAGTTATATGATGCTGGTGATGTGATGATGTTGATTAGCCATAATTCAAAATATAAAAAGTGACTAGCTAGAAGTAAAAGATTAAGAAATATTGGATATATTATAAAAATATATTTAAAAATAAAATAATTTAATATATTTGCCCTTTAAAAATGTAAGAAAATTGTATTTGAAATGGAATCTTTGCATTCTATATAAAATAATATAATGATAATGTTGACAAAGTGCCCTGGCAAGCGACTGAGGCGTCGAATATCTACTTCTATATCTTCAAACTAAAAAACTTTTAAACTAACTACACTAAACTCTACTCTTTGATTAAATTTAAATTTTAAATAAAATAAATTGTATTATAATATTATTTTATTATATCTGCTTTTTTATTTTTTTATAAATTTTATAGATATTTTTAATTAAGAAAGAAAATGAAAGTTATTTTATTGGGTATGTTATTAACATTTTATTATTTTATTATATAAATGGTTGTACTGAAATTGAATGAATGAATGAATGAATGAATGACAGTGGGTTGAAATGACGAATGACAGAAAAGAAAGAAAGAAAGAGACCAAGAAGATGGTGAGTGGCAGATGAAGTTGGAGGGTGTTGGTTGGCCTGATGGTTTGCTGTTTTGTTTGGCGTGACGATCGCAAAATAAATCGAACGACAAACCTTTTCCGAGCGAGTGGCACTCCAGGAATAATAAGAATAATAAAAAAAGCGACGGAACAAAATATCTTGTCATGATAATCGCACAAAAAGCTGCGGAAAAATAAAATGTTGTTGACTAGTTTTGAGAAATAGGGATGTCTTAGCAACTACCTGACTAAACACCAAATCATCCGATAAACCGACTAACCGAATAATAAATTGAAACATCCAATCTTGGCTTATATAGTTATATAAAATCAAAATTCTATATTTCGCTTTCAACAAATTCACTGTGTTTTAATAGAAAATAAGTGAATAGCAGTTTAAAACTATTAATTGACACCTAATAAAAGAGAAATTTTACCTAAAGTTGGCTGAACACTGGATAGCATCTACTTAGTTTGAGTTGGAAAACGTTTTTAAACTCCATAAAACAGGTTTAAGAAGATATGATTCTTCCTACACAAGTTCGTCAAGACAAACGACTATGGGTGGCAAGAGATGTTCGAAACAAAAAGAAAGCTATAAACAAGGCATGGAAAAAACTTCAGCTTTATAGGAATCAATCAATCAATCAATTAGCTTGTAAAGCGCTATTTCCGCGATGTTCAACAGCTCTCCTCAATGAATTTTGCAGACAGACAGATCCGCTCTGAACTTCGTAAGTGATGGAGAAGTAGTCAGAGAAGTAAGTAGAGAGTTCCAGAGAAAAGGACCAGAAAAAGCAAAAACAGATTTGGCAAAAGAGTGTTTAACACGAATTAAGAAGAAGCGAAAACAAGAAGACGATCGTAAACCGGGGCGTTTAGGTTCAATTAATATATCTAATAAATACTTAGTAAATAATTTAGATTGAGACTTATACATGAACGTGCAAATCTTTTAAAATTATTCTATATTTTATAGGTAGCCAGTGCAAGAGAACAAAATATGGAGATATATGAGAAAAGAAAAGAGAACGAGCAACTAGACGAGAAGCAGAGTTAAAAGCTTTACTTAAAGGATAGAATATAGCGAATCAGAAAGACCATAGTAGAGCGAGTTACAATAAACAATCCTCGATAAGACTAACGAAGTAACAAGAAGGGGAAGACTAGGATCATCGAGAAAAGGCAAAAGTTTTTTTATTCTACGTAGATAAAAGTAAGAGCTTCTAGTAAGACTAGGATCATCGAGAAAAGGCAAAAGTTTTTTTTATTCTACGTAGATAAAAGTAAGAGCTTCTAGCGACACTATTAATCTGAGAAGAAAGAGACATAGTAGAATCAAAGATAAAACCTAGACTAAACTTATGAGAGACATCAAGAGTTTTAGAATCAGGTAAGTTAATAGGAGGAATAGTAATAGAGTGTTTAGATTTATTAAAACAAATTAATTCAAACCAAGAAGGATTAAGTTTAAGACACAGTCAGACCAAGCGATTTGAAATGAATGTTTGATCCCTACAAAGACATAGAGATAGATAATGAAGAACACTATTGAGATTAGATGGAGGAAAAGAAGTATAAATGTAAGAATAAAATGTATTAGTCGAAATCGATCCAGTGGCTCTCACACAGAGATATCTACTGATACACAATAATCCTTGTTATGTTATATTATGTTTTTCAGGTTTATGAATGTTGAGATGAAAATGAAGATAGCAACTTTTTTTATCCATTGAAACCATGGATATAAACACTCGACTCAAGGCTGTTCAAGAAAATAGAAAATAACAACAACCACGTCATCCATCCTCTACTACCACCAATCAAAACTACAACACACAACCTTCGCCAGCGCAAACGTAACTATCAAGGCGTCGCCCAATCTACATACCTGGAAAAGACCTTCATCACAAGGCACCTCAAACATCTTAGCATTTAAGAAAACTTTATCATTACTAAACTAGTTTCTACTTATTGATCACCTCACTTTTATCGATCACCTCACTAACTCACTAAGTCATCATTTAGTCTATTAGTAAGTCATCAAATATATCAATACTAATTAAAACTTTTTCACACACAGGCCTAGCCTTTATTTTTATCGATCACCTCACTAAGCCAACATCTAGTCTATCAATTTGCCGTTACTTCATTTTATATTCCATCGTCAATTACTTTTCTTTTATTTCTCTAATTATTATTATTTATTTTATTCTAACATATTTCATTTTTCTTGTTTTATCATTTCTCTTCCTCACTTTTTGTATTTATTTTCTCACTTATTTGTTTAATTTTGTTTTACTGCCTTGCATGTTGTTACAGTTTCTGCGTCTGTCAGATCCTGATTTTAAAGAATAATAAAAAAAAAATAAATAAAATAAATGTATAAAAAAAATATATAAATGGGCAATTCTATTGTTATTTGCATTGATGTATATATATATATATAAATATATATATATATATATATATATATATATATATATATATATTTACATAAATGGATATATGTATATCCATGGTGATTTGTTGGATATTATCGTTCGAACCGGATCGTTTATTTCATTTTTTAACAAAAACATATTGTTTAGTTTTCAATTTGGTTTTTTCATCGAATTTTTACAATTTTTCGCTTTTAGTAATGTAAAGTTTGTTAGGGCCACTTGAAGTTTGTTGAACCGTTGATTTTTAAAATTGAATTGAAATGAATTAATTAAAAATAAAATTAATTAAATTAAAAATTAAATAATTAAAAATTTTCTGATTGATTGGGTATTCATTTTAATTTTAATTTTTTTCAATTTTTGTTGACTAAATTAATTTAATTTTAATAATTTAACAACTAATTTTTTGATTTAAGTTTTCTTTCATAGCAAAGCATGCTTTACTTACTTTTTAAAATTTATTTTAGAAATTGTGTAAAACTGTAAAAGTAAATAAAACAGTAAAATCGTGTAGTATTCTGTAATAATAAATAATGTAGTAATTAAATTCTAATCTGAATTAATTTTATAGTTATCATGACAAATTAAAAAACGTTATAGTATTAGTAGTGGTTCTTTCACAGATGCTAATCTACTGAACTACTTTAATTAGATTTTAAATTTTATTCTTATTTTTGTTATTATATTAATTTTTTATAAATAAATACTATAGTTAAAGTATAAGAAGTGTTATAAATACCTCATGCTTTTATAAAAATGAGTAAAATAAAAATAGCTTTTTTTATTTTTTAGCTACCCTCAAAAAATTTATAAAAATTCATCAGGTTAGGTAAGTAGTAACACAGTAACAGCAACATCTAAAAAAATCTGAAAGAAAACAAGAAATAAAAGTTCTATTTTGCCTTTATTTTCCTGATCATAAAAAGATGTCAGAAGCTGGTCTGAATATCATTGTAAATCACGGACACGACAGACATTCTATTTTTCTTCCCAACGACAACTCGACGTTAGAAGACCTTGCAAACAGTATTGAAGTTGTCACCGGAGTGCCACCCATCAATCAGAAAATCATCTTCAAAGGTAACTTTTCCTCCAACTTGTCAATCAAATGCTTATTCTCTTTTATGTTAATTTGATTATATTTTGTAATAACTTTTTTTGTTTGTCGATTTATAATTAGAGTACATTTATTCATAAATGAAAACTTATACAACGGTATTGTTGAGAATCTTGTTGTAAAGTTCTCCTAATTCAATTATTCGTAGTTCATGAAAAGATTTCTAAAAGTTTTATAGACCTCACCTTAGTTCTTAGTCTCTAAACATTAAATCCAATTTTAGGTTGAATATGGTTGAGGTTTATGGTACATTTTTCACTAATACCATTCATGATTAATTTCTTGTATGACTCAACTGGATGTGTGTGTGTGTGTGTGTGTGTGTGTGTGTGTGTGTGTGTGTGTGTGTGTGTCACACATTCGCACACGTGTTCTGCGTGAATTGGTGCCTCTGATGATTAATTTTGATTTGATAAATTTTAAAAAAATTAATCAAAATTAATCAAACTAAAAGGCAGGTCGCTTACACTGTCTGATGAAATGCTATCCAGCGTTGGAATCTTTAACAATAGCAAGATAATGATCATAGGCAAAAAGGTTGAATTTTTATTCATTTTATATATTTTATTTTATTTGAAATCTGTTTTTTTTTTTTTTATGTTATTTGTTTCTCTTAACGTTATCAGAATTATCTTTTTCACCAACAAATTTTAATTTGATAGTATTGCGAGGATGATGAAAAACACCTGAATGTGATGAAGGCAGTCGATAAGAAGTTCCAACAGATGAACGAGAAGTTTAATGAAGTGGCCAAACAGTTTCAAGATTTGCAAAATGTCTGTCTGTCTTTCTCGTTGTCTGTCTGTCTGTGTGTTTGTCTGTCTGTGTGTTTGTCTGTCTGTGTATCTCTTTACTTGTCTCTTTGTGTTTGTTTGCTAGTCCTTGTGTTTGTGTGTGTGTTTGTTTGTTTGCTTCATATCTTTCGCTTGTTGGTTCTTATTTTATTTTATTTATCTTTTTTTTCACAAATGCCTGTCTTTATAATTATCTACTTTTGGGCTATTTGGTGAAATATAATGAAATTTAATGAACTTTTTAGTTGTGGTGCTATCATCCTTAATTGTTTCTGCCTCTAGCAGTAGTTTTTCCATCATTCTGATTAGACTGTGCAGCCCATAAACCTATGCGTGTACAACATATCCACTCAACGTACATATTCACATTTATGCCAACATACGACCACCCGTTAACCACACGTGTGTACAAATTTTCTACTATATCACTATTCATTCCGATGATCGTAATTACAATTGTCTTGTAGGGATTCGTTGGAGAGGACCTACACAAAGAACTGAAACAGCAGCTAGTGAAGCAGCTGATGGTGACGTCACAGCAGCTGATGACGTCACTGGAGCAGCTGGATTCGTTGATGCTCGCTGGTTCGGCGTCCGAGGTTCAGTCGTTCAGGAAGAAAACAGTCAACCAAATCAACGTTAGATAATAACAATAATTATAATAATAATTATAATAATAATAATAATGGCTAATATTATATATATATATATATATATATATATATAATATTATTGACAATAATGATAATAATGAAAATAAAAATCCCAGAGTCTCCTAACAAAGATAGACTCGTTGCAGGAGTCAGTTGAAAAATTTTCATGATGGTGGTGTGGTCGTGTGTCGTTGTCGTCATAATCATCGTGTGGTGGTGTGGTGCTTGTCGCTTTGTCGTCGTCGTCGTCACCATCATCATCATTTTTAACTTTAACATCATTTTATCACCATCAATCATCATTATTATTATTATTATTACTGCTGTTTTTACGACTAGTGTTATTATTGTTGTTACTGTTGTTATTGTTTATTATTCCCCTATCAAAACTCTGCAAAAGAAAGATATATTCATGATAGGATGACGTTGCTTTCGGCGCTATGTTGGTGATGACGACGACGATGATGCTGACATTAACACTATTAAAGCAACATCATCGTCATCTATTTCATTGTTGTTATCATTTCTTTTAATGAAATAATTAACAATCTTTAAGTTTAATTTATCTAGCTTTTAAATGTACATATGATATATTTAAATGATATCTTAGTTGCTTGATATATTTAAATGATATTTTACTTACATGATGTATTTAAATGATATATTGCAACATCAACATGGTCGTTATCAGCGTATGTAGGCTTAATCACTGTTTATTATCATTATTTCCATTCGTATCATAATTTCATCTCATTGTACCTGATACCTCTTGCCTTTTATCTTGATACTAAATAATTGATAATAATAATAATAATATGATGACGATGATGATAATAATAATAATGATGATAATAGGATGGGTGATGATGAGGATAATATCAAATGGTAACATCTGTGTTGTGTTTGCGTGCGTGTGTGGTTTGTGTGTGTTTAATATTGTTAAAGGTTTAATGACGTCATTGCTATCAATAATATTGTTGGAAATGTCCTTGGTTAGAAATTTTGTTCGGATTCTTGGGTTGAGCGATATATGGTTCAGTTGTTTTCCTCTAGCTCCGAATTTTTTAATTTAATTTTTTCCTTAATTAACGAGTTTTCAAAATTTTATTTTTTATTTTCTTTTTTTAATATTATAACTTGCATACTTGCACGGAAGCACCAAAGGTACTGGTGGGCCAGTCAGGCTGGCGCCACGCTACAAAAGGGCCAGGGTGGTTACGTCGCCAACTATGATATCATCACCAACGAAGATGGACAGACCATTGTTTTTTATCATTGAACCGCTAACACTGGATAATGACCACGACTTCCGAAAAATGTCAATTTTCAAAATCTGTAAATTCTTCCAAACCACTCTAGGAGAATTGAATTTCATTAAAATTCAACCAAACAGAATCTTGATTAAGTTAAAAGAAGAAACTCAACGAGATAAATTAATAAAAATCAATTCTATCCTGAATGAAAAAGTTAAATGTTATCCACACAAATTTTTGAATATAAGTAAAGGAGTTATTAGATCAACAATTTTTAAATACTGCTCTGAAAGTGAAATAAAGGAAGAATTAAAAAGTCAAGGAGTGATAGATATTTACAATATAAAAATAACCAAAAATAATCAGAAAATTAACACAAACACCTTCATTCTAACACTCAATAGTCCCCAACTTCCAGGAGATTTAAAAGTTTGTTATCTATCAATCAAAATTGAGAAGTTTATACCCTCTCCAACACGATGTACAAAATGTCAGAAATACGGTCACCACCATAAGATTTGCAAGAGTAAAGATGTTATTTGCTCAAGGTGTGGAATTGTAGGACATAAGCACACATGGGAACTCCCATGTCAAAATACCCCAAAATGTTACCACTGTGGACATAACCATGAAACCTTTTCTAAAGAATGTTCAAAATTCAAATTGGAAAAAGAAATATTAAAGACAAAAGCTGAAAATAATGTATCATATATTCAGGCGAGAAATCAGATATATCATCAGAAAAAAACCATTATATTCCCAAATAATTACAAAAAAGCAATGGTAAATAAAGAAACCCAATGCAATCTCACAAAAGATCCAACAAACTACTGCATGACATATTTAAAGAAAAAACCATCTAATATTGATAAATCTCATAAAGAAAGAGAGAAAAAATTGGAATCAGATTATGATGATGACGACAGGAGCAATACCAGTAAAAGTAACTATAATGGTAATAGTGTTAATAAAATTAGTAGTCATAATAAGGGTAATGGTAATAATAATGGTAATGTTAACATCTTTTATTTTCCCCACAAAAAAAAAATTACATTAAGATAGATAAAATGAAATGAAATAAAGTTTGGATAAAATAATCGACGATAATCAAAAATGATTTAGGTAAAAAAAAAAATTATAAAAGCGTATTCTACGTAGCTCGTCATTCAGTGAAAGAAACACGAAATGAGTACAACGAGAACAGATTAGTTTTACATTGATTCATTCCGTCAAATTTCTATCACAATAAACAGCGTATGATGAGGATATCGCAGAGTTAATAAGACTATTATAAAATTGATCAGACCAAATAATGTCAACCAGCGACAAGTAATGATGATAATAATAAGAATAATGGTAATAATAAAGGTAATAATAATAATGGTAATAATAACAACAAAAATAAAGATCCATATTCATTCTCTACTGATGAGGATATGAAAAGTAGTGATGATAATGAAGTATTTTGTAGCAATGACGATATTGATGTAAATAATATCAAATGGGTTACAAAAGATAATGAATATGGCTTCTAGTAAAAAAATGCCAACAATAGACATACAAACAAGGGATAAATCAGACATATTAAGCAACAATGATGATCATAAATCAATTAAACGTCAAGATGATATAATGCATAAAAATCCCAATAAGATTAGAATCCTGCAATGGAATATAAGAGGAATGAAAAATAATTTTCCAGAACTACAGATCTTAATCTCCAAATATAATCCTCAAATCATATGCCTGCAGGAAAGGTTACTGGTGACAAGCAAATAAATTTTAAAAACTTCAAGGCTTACCATAAATCAGCCATACCAACAAAAACAAACCCATCAGCAGGAACATCAATTTACATCCATCACGATATAACACAATCTCCAGCTAAAATAGAAACTAATAATCATTTTATAGCAACAAGAATAACAATCCACTATAAATCCATAACAATATGCAATGGGTATATAAAACCAAACTCATTGATCAAATCACAAGAGTTAAAACATTTAATTAAACAAATCCCTAAACCATTCATATTATTGGGAGATTTCAATGCTCACAACAAAATCTGGGAATGCTCAACTTCAAATGCTCAAGGAATACACCTAGAAAAAACAATAATAGAAAGCGATCTCTGCCTAATCAAACCAACAAAAGCAACAATGTATCATGATCATGCAAATACTTCATCAACAATAGATCTAGCCATGACCACTCCAGCCATTTTTCAAGATATAGAATGGGATGCAGAAGACGATTTACATGGCAGTGACCATTATCCAATAATTTTATCCATCAAAAATATAAGAAATTATGATTTGAAAAGAATAAATTACAATAAAACAGATTGGACTGCATTTAAAAACATGACAGAGGAAAGAATGAAAAATTTTAACACAATTGATGATGAATCAATGAACAAATGGATAAAGATTATAACGACAATCATAGACCAGATTACACCAGTTATAAAAAATAAAAGTGGTAAATTATTAAATCTTTGGTTTAATGAGAAGTGCAAAAATGCAATCAAGCAAAAACAAAAAACATTCAAAATATTTAAAAATAACCCTACCCAAGTCAATCTCATAAACTATAAGAAATTCAAAGCAGAAGCATGTAGAATAGTGAGTTCAGACCAAAAACACTTAATGACAATCTATCAAGCAATGATAAGGTCAATAACAGACTATGCTAGTCTTGTCTACGGATCAACAAGGAAATGATATCTGAAAATTCTTCAACCAATAATGAACGAGTCATTAAGAAAAGTCTTGGGAGCTTACAAAACATCGCCATCTAGCAGTTTACATGTTTTGTCTGGGGAGATGCCTTTAACGTTTAGACATCAAAAGTTAGCATTGAATTATTATTTAAAAGTTAGGTCTCAGTCAGAAAATCAGAACTACAAATTTATAAACCAAAATCATCAAATAAAATCAAAAGCTATACAAAAATTCCCAGCAAGACTTAATGAATATATCAAAGATCATAACAAAACTAATATTTTGAAAGAAATGGATTATGAACACCCGCCTTGACTATTGTTGTATCCGGATGTTGATATCAGTATAAATAGAACAGTAAAAGATGAAAATTTGGCAAAAATTTTATTTAGAGAAAAAATCCATAAAAATCCCAATTCCACAAAAATTTATACGAATGGCTCAAAAAAGGAGTTCTCAACGACAGCAGCAATAGTTGTTTACCAGTAATCAAAAATTATACATAAGCTCATGAAACATCTTCCAAACTATACATCAATTTTTACGGCAGAGATCATTGCTATTGAGATGGCGATAAGCTATAAGCGATAAGCTAAATTCAATAACAAATTTTTAATATTTTCAGATTCATTATCTGCAATCACTGCACTTAATCAATATAGCCCTCAACATAATCTGATAAAGCAAATACAAAATAATATACATAATAACTTGACTAATAATAGTAATAAAATAGCTTTGATGTGGATTCCTAGTCACATAGGAATTCATGGCAACGAAGAAGCAGATCAACTCGCATCACAAGCCCATGCTATCCCAATATCAAATGTACCAATTCCATACAGTGATTTAAAAACTTGAATGGAATAAGATTACCAATTATCTTAAACTATCCATGCCAAGTGTTTATAAAAAAAATCCAGATGAATCTAAGGGTTTAAACCGTAAACTGAGGACAATTATTAATAGGTTAAAAATAGGCCATTCAAAATACACTCATTCTTGGATAATCAACAAAACAAATCCACCAGCATGCAACTTTTGTGATGAAAAACTTTCTGTACAACACTTGGTGGAATGCAAAAACCATGATGATATTCGGAAACGATATCAGATCCCCTCAGATATTGAAAAAATTTTCAAGAGAGAAAACATCAATAATCTAATAAAATATCTTCAGGAGATAAAAATACTCGACAGAATATAGAAATATTTGAAAAAAACTCAAAAGAACCCTAAGACAATTTTGTTTCAAAAGAAAAAAGCGCTGAAACGCCGTTAAACTGCATTAATAATAATAATAATAATAAATTTTGTTCGCTTCTTATTTATTCATAGGTATCAATCAATCAATCAATCAGTCAATCAATTTATCAATCAATCAATTAGTTTATTAAACGCTATTTCCACGATGTTCAACAGCCAACAGCGCTCCTCAATGAATTCTGCTAACAGATGGGTCTTGAGATCCGTTCTGAAATTCGTTTTAGTTGGGTAAAAATTGTTATCTTGAAAAGTGTAGTAAAATGAGTTTTAAGCAGCACATTTTTTCTTTCAAAAGTGACTTCTCGAATTCAAAAATCGGTAAAAAGTGTTACTTTGTAAATTAAAATGTAGTAAAATGAATTTTAAAAGACACATTTTTCGGATCTGACTTCCGAAATTCAAACTTAAAAATTTGTTCAAATGGTCGGCGGTTGATTAAGTTTTCAGAAATTTCATTAGAATTCGAGTAACGTGAATACGGTATGTTACGATACGATTTTGCACGCTTTCCACAAAATCTAAAACTTTACTACTAAGCACAGGTAGAGACGCTGTAGATGTGTAAAAGTTTTAAGAAAATGGTCAAATCTCATCATATTTTTCTACATGTGCTTCTCGGAAAATGATAATCCTGATCTTAAATTACATTTTAACAAAAATCGTTTTTATAAATTGTGGCAATTACTGCATTGCCACGCATATCCGTTATATATAACCTCTACAAATCACCCAAAGATGAGGAAAAACTTACAATTTGGATAAAAAAAAATTACTAAACAATTTGCCACCCACACGTGTCTACACATTTTTACACCGAACCACAACGGATACACGTAATTAACTATACTAGTAGTGAAGGCCATTAAAGCATCAGAGCCTATAACACTATATAAATGTCTTCATTATTATTTCTATTATTATTATTATTTAATACTTATAATAATAAATGCTAATATATTTTTATTTACTGTCCTCTCTCTCTCTCTCTCTCTCTCTCTCTCTCTCTCTCTCTAGCCATCTCTCCTTCTTTACCTTAAATACGTTTTATTATTAATTGAGATATATCATTGATAATATTAATTTATTTCTAATTTATTCTTCTCTCGCTTTTTTTTTCTTTCTTTTTCTCTCTCTCTCTCTTTCTTTCTCTCTCTCTTAACCATATCTCTAACTTGCTTTATTTAACTTCCGTGTTTGGAATTTACAGTGCTTTTGAAAACAAAGCCGATTTAAGTTCTATCACAAACAGCCAGGCATATTAATGTTTGATTTGGACGCTTTGTTATATTTATTTTTAATTATCTTTATTCTGTTTAAGTCTGAGTTCATTTGATATATTCAACTAAAAATTTGTCATTTTATTTGACTTATCACTAAATTTTTTTGAAAATATCTGAGGTACGTTTAAAATAGAGAGCAAATGTTTTTTTAAAGTTTTTTCTCGAATTAATAAAATGATTAATTGAATACTGATTTTTTAACTTTTTAGACTTGAATTCTAGTAAAAATTCCCTGTTCATTAAAAGATCCATCAAGTTATACAAATAAAAAAATATGACGAGCTTCATAAAGAAAATCATGAGACCAAAGACGAAGGTATACGGCAAGCAGGGCTCAGTGAAAGGTGGGCTTGTCATATATTTTAAAATTTGAGATCTGACGTAAAAGTTTAACTACGTGTCAACATTTTAACATTCAAAATTGTTAAATTTAATTATTATTATATTATTTCATCATTATATTCATAACGAATTCATATGTTTAATGGCGTTGTATGTTTTTGACGAAAAATGCTTGAAGATCATTTCACAACATTCAGAAAGAAACCTAACTAACTCAGACCTGCGTTTTTTTGGTAGTTGATTGCATGCTGCGAACTTGAAAGTACGATAAATTTATCTAATAATAAAATAAATTATAATAATTCATTCATCTAATAATATATAAATCCTGAAAAATAATAGTAATAATTATTAAATAATAATAATAATTATTTAATAATTAAATTAAACGGCCATCTATATATTCTTAAACATTATCGACGTTATTTTGAAGAGTTTTAAAGGTCAGAAATTGCACTGAACTGACTAATTTTCTACTTTGTATAAAAACTAGGTCAGTTTAACTAAAAGACGTTAAAATTCGGCAAACAAAACACTGAAAACGTAAACTTTTTGAATAGTTTTCAACTTGAGCGTTCATTAAGCTACCGGAAACTATGGATATCGCTAAAAACGTACGCTATACCACGTAGCTCTTTTAGTAACAAGCGTATCCTAATCGTTGATCATCAATTTAATTAAATTAAACTCATCATATTTAATTTAATTTTAATTTAATAAATTGATTTCGCGAGTCCTTTTCTGTAGTGAGATGTTGCAAAAATAAAACGTGAAATTTGAGAATGTGGTGATTCTTTATTAAAATGCTCTGGCGAATTAACTTCATGTGTTTAAATAGTGGAAGGGGTTTTTAATTTTTAAAAAAGTGTTATTTTTTTAGTGAATGAATAATAAATAAATTTTGTTGCCCTTAAAACTAATAAAAATTAAAAATTGATAGTGACCAATAGAATGTTTGCCGTCTTAATATGTTCGTCCTATACGTTATTTCTATTCATTAGTTGGCTCGTTGGCTGAAAAGTGCTGCACTGCTCGCTTTTCACCGAACGAACAACATAGCTTGTTTTTGAGGAAATTCTTTCTGTTTCAGTAAACTCGCTCGCTCATTGTTAAATAACTCATGTGCATAAAATATTGAGAGATGACTTTAATAAGCGACTTACTTGTGTTGAGTATTAGTTAGTGTTTAAAATGTTATAAAGTTTAATAATCGAAATCGAACGAGAAACGACTCAACTATTATTTTTAATAATATTTTATTGTTTGATTGAAAAACAATAACAAAACTTAAAACTGAAAATTAAAATATAAAATATAAAGAGTACGCAAATAATAAAGTGTAAAAGTGTACAACAATAGGTAGTGTTCAAGAGCTTTAAGCGTGTTAAAGAGATAACTCTAACTTAACTAAGATAACTCTCAACTTAACTTATGTACTCGCCTATCATATACTAGGAGACCTTGCTCCCTAGAGCTTAACTAGTTGTCTAGCTCCTTCTAACCAGTCAGTCCCTATTGAATGTCACCTCGTTTTCATTATACAAAGTATTGTATGCTCTGGTTAATTATTCGTTATGCTTTCTTATATAAAGCTGCTATATGTCTGTAAATTTGCTATCTCGTCCTGAACTACTTTTATAACATAACTATCATATTTTTTATATTTACCTCCAACCTAAATTATCATCAGTTTAATAAAAGATGCATTCTTAATTTTCACCAATGTCGTACTTACTAAGCCATTTATATATTTAATTTTTAGCTAATTTTTCTATACAACACAACGCACATGTGTGTGTTTTTAAGCAAGCTGCCTAATTACCATTAAATTTGATTGATGGAAATCACAAGAAAGTTACTAGTTAAGAGCAACATCGAAAATAATATTAATAATTGTTATTATTATTACAATTATTATTATTTTATTATTATTATTATCATCATATATCATATATTGTGATCGGAACAATGCGCGAATCAATTTTCATAACTATCTTATCATCGCTGTACTTATTTTATTCTAAATGAAGAGCAATGATGACTAACTATAATGATTATGATTATTTTAATCATGACTATTTCTCTATTAATTAACTAATTAATTATTGACTTAACGCATTTGATGAAAAATAAAAGATCTGTTCCTATTATTATTATTATTTTTATTATTAATATTATTTTTATTACATATAAACATTAGCATCATCTACGTACACCAGCAAATTGTAGAGACAATTATAAAGATAATTAGTAGGCAGAGCATTTTTAATATTTAACTTTAGCTGCTGAACTGAATTAATTCGGCCTCACTCATTATGTAGAAACCGGTTAATAATAATATAATTTGGAATATTACTTATTCAATGCTATCTTCGTTATCGTCTATGATTCATTGAATACATCCTTATTTTAAATTTCTTATCTATTTTTTAGTATTTTGATATTGTCTATAAACTGTTTCACAGACTGATCTCAATTTTTTCGTTTGAAATGGAATTTTTTGTTTAAACCACATTGCAGAACAGAAATATAAATTTTCTAGTTTAAACATTAACACAATGATTTCAGAATTGCTCAAATGGTGCCTAAACAAAAATTAGTAAATAAGTAAAATCTACATAACTCGTGAAAATTTGTTAAAAGGGTTTAGTTTTCATTGGTTTTTGAATTAAATTTTAGTAAATTCCAAAACAATGCGGCCGCAGCTAATTTTTTTAAACGTCGATTGTTAATATATTGCACTACTACATATGTCCAAAAAGACTACCTATCAAGAATGAATACTGAATCTTCGAAAATAACATAAAACATATTTTAAAAACTTGAAAACCTAAATAAAGTACTGCAAATCTAAACATGCAGCTTTAGAAAACTAAAAATATTATCCAACTTTTATCAACAACATATGATGCTCCAGTTAGGTCCAAGCTCCAGTTTTCAAATTTACTAAATTTCAATTCGGAAATTTTCAATGCACAATTATAAACATTTTCAAAATCATCTGAAGAATTTTTTATTCCATTATTATACAAAAATCACAACTAAAGTGAATGGACTGGATATGAAGCAGAGGCGAGTTGTAACCAATGAAAACCTAAAACAATGTTCTCAAATTTTCACGAAATCAATGAAAACAAAACAATTTTAACAAATTTTTACGAAACCAACAAAACCTAAAAAAATTTCTCAAATTTCCACCAAACATGGTGCAGAGAGCCAAGCGATGAACATCACAGCTCCCACCGACTTCAAACAAGTTCTTCACATCACATTTAAGGATGGTCAGATCGTCGGCTTGCCTGATGTGTGGGGGGAGTGGTTGAGCGCCTCCGACATCAGGTCAGCTTTTCTCTTTTGCACCTATAATTTACTCTTTAAAACTTACGGGGTATAAATTTACGCAAAAACATTTTGAAAATTAATGTTATTAAAAGAACATTTGAAAATTGATTTTTTATATCTCATTTAATCACCATTACTGATTAAGAAAGTTAAATTAAATTTTAAATTTTTTTTAAAGTTTGGAAGAGCAGAAAAAAAATCCCGAAGCAGTGTACACGGCACTAAAAACATACGAAAGCTCTGTCAAGTACAAGGACCATCAAAAGTTCATGTTGCAGAACGACAATTCGACCAATCTATCAGCTTCAGAAGATTTAGAATCCAAACGCAAATCATCCGACGATGTTAGTTGACCTGAAACAAATGAGTTGATACTATGCAGTGTGTTTGGTTGTTATTTTATTTTTACTTGATTAAACTTTACATCTTGAAGAACTTTAGTTATTATTCTTACTACCTTGAACGTGTTTTATTTTATTACTTGCTGAAATAGTTTTACATTGGGTTGATATTTTTTAAAAAGCGTTGATGTCATTAATTTAGCGAAAACTTCATTCAAAACATTTCAGAATGACCCGAAGAAAACAACTTCAAACGGTAAATCACCAAACCAGCCTGCCTCAAAAGAAGGAGCTCCCAAGAACATTCAATGCCGTCGGAACAACAAAGCCCCCGATAAGATGACCGAAGAAGAAGTTATGCAAGCATTCAGTTAGTTGGAGCTTTTAGGAGTTAAATTTATTAAACACTTAAATTAAGGTAGAAACATTATTTTGTTGAAAATTTGTAGGAGATTTGGTGAGCAAAGACGATCCATTGAAAAAGTACGACATCAAACAAAAAGTCGGATCTGGGTTGGTTACCTACTTCAGTTACATTCTCTGAAAATACTTTTAAATTGTTTCAGTACAAGTAGCGAATAGGCATCTAATATTACGTTGTTGACCAAACAACAAACGCCGGCTGCAAAATATTATTTATTTCTTATAAAGTATATGTTTGAAATTTGATCAACACCTTTGAAACATTCTACGTTTCAAAATTTCAACATATAAATATTAATTTTTATTAAAAATTATTTAACATGTTTAACCAAAAAAAAACTCTGGTTAAAATATACTTAATGTATACTACCTTGAGAAACCGGGTCTCTGGACGCAAAACGAAGATTGATTGATTGATTGATACTGCTAACCTAAGCAATACATGTTCATAAAAATGTAAAACTGCATGGGTTGATATGCAAATTATTATTATTATTTATTATTACGAATCTCTCTTCAAAAAATTTCAGAGGCGTCAACAACAAACACACAGTACTTGTGAATGCACGTGAAACATCACACACACTGCATGTGATGGGCGGGGAGGATCTTTAAGCGATCGAATCCGGTCACTGATCTTTACCGCTACATCATCGCGCTGCCAAATTAAGAGACGAAATTCAAGGTCCTTTCATTTTTGTCAAATCAAAACAATAATGATTTGACCTGGAAGTCAAGAAGATAAAATAATCTTGACAACCGAAATGTACCTATGTAGATAACCGAACTAACAGAGCCTCAGGTACAGTTTGTGTGGCAACGGACAGGCAGACGAACCATGCAGTTGCCATCAAAAAGATGGACCTGAGTAACCAGCCTAAGAAGGAGCTCATCATTACGGAGATCGAAGTCATGAAACAACATCAACATGAAAATATTGTCAACTTTCTTGATTGGTGAGATTGGCTTGAAAGTCATTTACGAAAATACAGTTGATTAAGATCACTTAATGGATGTAATAAAAATAATTATAAACAGTTATAGAAAGTAACCTGCGAATTCAGCTATAATAAAAGATAACTGATGACAAAACAAATTGGTAGAGAGATTAAACTTATAACATTAATTTAATTTTCGCCACGTGACCAGTTACTTGGTCGAGGGCCCAGGATCTCGAGAACTGTGGGTGGCCATGGAGTACTTAGAGGGTGGCGCTCTCACCGACGTCGTCATGGAAACCATCTTGAAAGAGAACCAGATAGCGGGAATAACTAAACGATGCACGGACGCTCTAGCTTATCTACACTCCCAAGAGATCATTCACAGGTTTGTGACATAGAGTGGTCCGGAGATGGTCTTGATTTGTCAATTTATTTTCACGAACATTTCTAGATTTTTGATGGATTAAGTTGCTCTGTATATTTATATATACATTCGTCACACTATAGTCAATGAATTAGTTTTGTTACTATTTCAAAATGAGATCAATTTCAATTAATTTTTCAATCACTACCAAAAAATTCACCGAATTGTCATTTCCAGACTATAACACGACACATGTTCATAAAATTCAGAGACATCAAAAGTGACAACGTGCTACTGGGTATGAACGGTGAAGTGAAGTTGACGGATTTTGGGTTCTGTGCCCAAATAACGCAGGACCGCGACAAACGAAACACCATGGTGGGTACGCCCTACTGGATGGCTCCTGAGGTGGTTTCCAGGTTTGTTCTTTTACTACCTTTTTGTATTGAATAAATTGTAACAGTTTGAAACAAAAATAAAAACATAAGTTACATATTCAAGTTGTTTTATTGGCTCCATTTTAGCAAAACTTGAAATACTTTGTTTATTTTTAGAATCAGATTTCAGTGGCTTTGTTTAATTTTTTCATTTTTACAGTTACAATTCTTCTGTTGTAAAATTTTGTAATCGGTTCAATTTTTTTAAATATTAAAATCAAAAAACGTCAAATAGTCAAAAATCTAATTTATTTTTGCATTCATTTCTTAACTTTCTTTTTAAAAGCAAACATCAAAACACAAATTATTAGGAAGCAGTACGGTTACAAAGTAGATGTCTGGAGTCTGGGCATCATGGTGATTGAGATGATAGAAGGTGAACCACCCTACCTGAACGAAACGCCCATACGAGCCCTCTACCTCATCGCATCCAATGGCAAGCCGCAGATCAAAGACAAATCAAAATTATCTCCGGACATTGTTAACTTTTTAGACAAGTAATTTTTACACTTTCAACTCCTTTTATTGGCTCCATTTTAACAAACCTTAAAATGCTTAGTATATCTTCTGAATGTGTTGTCAGAAATTAAATAAAAATAATTTTTCTCTTCCATTCAAAGAACATGCAAAATATTTCAACAAATAAAATCAAACAAGTTAGATTCCATCGCACAACATGAAACAATCTGTAAAAATGTTTCTACAACTCATGTAAAACAATTTATTAAAAATCTTTTGAAAATCTTTTGTCTCACCAGGTGCTTAGAAGTAGAGGTTGAGAAGCGAGCCACATGTAAGGAGCTAATGAGTCATCCTTTTTTAGGGCTGCCAGTCGACATGACGTCACTCAGACAGAACATACTTGCAGCCAAGGAAGCTGCCTCGAAAAGCTTTTAAGCTGTTCCAATACACTCTACATTATTGCTGCCTATGATGATCTTGTTTGATGAACTTTTGTGTCTTATTATTATTTTATATTTTATAAAAATATTTTATATTATAAGATTGAATTATGTTATTCTTAAAACCTCTACTCTGCTGCTACTGTTATTACTACTACTACTTCTTCTATTGCCACTACAACGACTACTACTGCTACTGCCGCCGTCGCTTTTACTGCTGCTGCTGCTATATTTTTATACACCATTAAACGATCTGAGGTTTGTTGTGTCATATAGCATAATTTTGCGGTCTGATGACGAAATATTTTTGTTACGATGTAGTTTTAGAAAATTTTAAATTCTCTTACCATGTGGACTTCAACTTTAAAATATATCGAATATTAGGAAATGAAACTTTATATATTGTTTAATATAAAATTTTTGTTGTTTAATATATTAAACAGTGAGGTATTTTCTAGTATCCTGCTGGCCTGCTAACATTAAAAAAAAATCTAGTGCACATGCATCAACAAAAACACTTCTCATTTCAAGTTCTGTAACAAATAGAGTAAACAAAAGTATCATTCATTAATAAGTTTATTAAAATCTGTTTCTTTACATATGACACAGATGCTGTTTATTCTGGAAATTTTTAAAATAATATGAATTACATAAGGTTATTACATTCTCTCTTAAAGGAAATGCTTAGAAATTTCTGAAATATCTGCGTACTCGTTTAAACTTTTTTTTTTTACTACGTCCTACCTTTGGGAATCGGGTCTCTGGACGCAAAACGAAGATTGATTGATTTATTGAAAAGGACGTTTTTATAACAGTTAACAGTTTGGAGTTCATTCAAAAACATCATGCGTATAAGAAAGAATAAACGCATGCAATTAAAAGTTTCATTTCTTGCTCTATTCAGAATTTGAACGTAGCAGAGCAACGAAATAAACCACACTACGTTCATGAATTTGTGAATTCATAATGCGTCTTGAATTTGAAAAGTTGGCAGTGCCGGACCGGATTTCAACATTTTGAAAAGGTTAAAGGTCAATTACACTCTACTACTAAATTACTAAATAAACAAGTGCATGTCTGTATTTAATGTAATGTAATAGTAATTCAGTTTTTCTGTGGATCGATGTACAATCAAAAAATAAAATAATAAAATAGCAATAAAATTAGTTTAGCGATAAATTGCGCTCCAAAGGTGGAATATACCTTACAAAATGTTGGACTTGGGATTGATTTTGTGATTTATTGAAAACTATTTATGTGTGCACAAAAAACAAACCATTACAAACAGTTTAAGACAAAAATCAAAATATTATAAATGTATTTCTGTGAAATGACATTAGAAAAGAGGTCAAAAATGAAAAGATTGCTTTGAAATTTGATGTTTTTGTTATATACAAACCAATCAACAAAGATTTAGAATAAAAATTCTGGTGGGGGTAGTTTTTGGCTGAGCTTTTCACACATCACGTGCATAATGCAACATATTATTTTAATATTAAAGCCTTGCATAATATTTAAATCTCTCTGTTAGTTACTGAACTGATACTAATTGAAAAGTCTTAAACTACTGACAAACAATTGTTCAATATGTCAGCCCTGTTTTAAAATAAATGTTTTGTTGCTATTCAGAGGCTTGTTATTGTCATTGCTCTTATTGTCGAATTAATGTTCTGCAGATCGCTTCAAACGTTATTTGACTGTCTAGTTTGAAACATAGAAGGAATAAAAATAACAAATTCACAAAATGGATACCCCAAAATGTAAAGATTTTACAACATTTAGAATTCCACATGCTCAACTGAATAATTTGCAGTTGGATCCATCCACATAAAACTTTAACCATAGGCCTAAGTTTGATGTGCCAAACCTGGCGAGCAAAACATTAAATCAATTGCAATAATTTGCATTTAAATAAAGATATATATGTGTAAAAATGCTCAGAATAATGTCAATATATATTAGACTAATAATTGAAAATTTTAATTTTTGGCTATTTTACCAAAACAGTAATATTAATTAAGCAATCCGAGTCGATAAACCACTTGAATTTAACAAAATTACACCTAAACTTAGAATACATATATTAAAAAATACGTATAGGGGAGATGGGGGCACATTGATCTGTTTTGAGGTTTTTTTGTAACAACAGTGAAACTAACCAAAAAGTGAATATTAATATTTGTGCAATTTACAGAGGAACATTCATTTAATGTATTAAGTTCAGTTTCAATTGTATAATACAAGAAATTTTTAAAAAAATTTAACTTTGGTACAACCCCTACAAAGGATCAAAGCACCCCATATACGGGGTACCATGATCCCTCCCATGGGGTACATTGATCCTAGGTATAAATCAATATGATTTGATGTTCATTTGCCTCCAAAAAACTCGTTAAAACACATTGGATATAATAATTCATAATTTTTAATAAAAATTAATATTAATTAAGATCTTTAAAAATTGTCAAATCAACGGGAAAAACCAAGTGACGACTGACTCGAGCAGTCCCACCATGCTGAATTGGATCTGGAACTTTACAAACAATGTCCTCTTTTATAAATTGATATAATTCAGCATTTCTACAGATAAAGTTGAATGATGACATCTTTTCCCTTTTCAAGTATTTTACCATTAAATCTCCAGCTTCCGATATTATTTGGCCAATGTAATGAATAACTTTCTTTTTAGTTTTAAATTTTACTACAACATAGTCATTATTTTTTAATGCAGAACAGTCGTAGTCCAGACTTGGGCCTTCTGCTGTCAACTGAGGATTGCTTGCATCACCATCACTGTCATCACTTTCTAGTGTTCCAAGATAATCAACGCTTGACATGGCTTTTGTTTTTTTTACTGTATCAGTTGTGAGTCCAGTTTCATCTACATTGTATATGTTCTCCGGACCAAAGTTATGCCTTGCACGAACCTTGTGAAGATTTTTGAAGAATTCACTGACATTATATTTATTGAATGCTGTTGCTCTTGCCAGACTAGTCGCTTCAGCTGCACGTAGTGACAACTCGGGTCTTCTTTTCATAAAACCCTGGAGCCAATCAATACCAGCAGTTTTTTTCATTGACCATGAAGATGGGCT